ATGTGATATAGAGGATGGCGTGTAAGTACTTGGAAAAATCATGATTATACTATAGCCAGACTGAGAAATGTGGATTAGTTTACTTATCTGTCTCTAGCAAGAGTACTAGCCAACTTTTTGAACTTTTCCCAGGACATCTACTAAAGTAAAACTGTTTTATTTCTATCCCAGTCTAGGAAGCAGGGGAAAAGAGAGGCTAAATGTAGCAGCAGCATGACAATAGTTTTAAATGAACAAGTGTGCAGATCTATGACCAGTCCAAGGTGCTTGACGCAGCCACATAAGTGTATAAGTAACATGAACAATGGAGAGGGCAGTGGAGTTCCTGCAAGCTGGGGAGCTGGGAACCCCATGTCAGAAACACAGCTACCTACCTGAATAAAAATAGCATTTAGGGGCAACAGCTGTGGCATAGTGGTTAAGTTTGCGTGCTCAGCTTCTGAGGCCTGGGGTTCATGGGTTTGGATCCCAGGCACAGGCTTACACACCACTCATCAAGCCATGCTGTGGCAGGGTCCCACATACAAAATAGAGGAAGACTGGCATAGATGGTAGCTCAGTGACAATATTCCTCAAGCAAAAAGAGGAGGATTGAGAACAGATGTTAGCTCAGGGCCAATCTTCCTCATCAAAAAAAACCCCCAAAACAAAACATAGCATCTAGGACTTCTATGGTTGACACTAGAAGGAAGTTAGTCTCCAGGTGTGTGGCTGCATCCCCCACATCCTTCTTTCCCTGATTCCCTCCCTGATTACTGATATCACCCCCTGCCTCCCAACACTACCCCACTCTCTTCAGCGCTCGGGAAAAGTGTGGACGAATAGCCCTTTCTTTGCTTTCTTACTTAACACTCACTTGCTAAATGATAGCAAAAATGAATTTTCCACATGTACAATGATCCTAGAGCCTGACAAAGTTTATTCACCTTTAATAAATGAAGCAGTGATGCCAACTCAACAAGTCTGTCTAATTCCCAAATCTCCTTAAGTGATGTGAGGTGCCTACCCAGTGAGGACCCTTTTTAGGGACCTGTCCTTCTGAGTCCAGTCTCCCTGTGTATGTCTGCAGACAGCTGATTACACTCTACCCATAGATACAATCTTAGGCATCCAGACTCTTCAAAGTCCAAGCCAGGGGGCATGCTGAACCCACCCGCACCCCACCTCCGGCTTGTCATCATAGTCCCAGTTTCCTGTCTAAAGATCTTTTCCCCAGGTAATCTTTCTCAGAAATGACCTTCATTTTTATGTCGCACTTGCCTAATCTTTGCATGTCTGGACAGTTTAAACATGATTTAACACAAGGCAACAATCTTAATCTTCATAAAAGAGATACATACAGTCAGACTGATGGGTGGAATCCTTAAGAGGATTCTCCCCCGTCTTGAATGTCTGCAAGTGAAGTAAAGAGAAACATAAGTAACTCATACCCCTGGTAAATTGAATCAGCCTGCCCACAAGCTTCAAAATGTATCTTGTGAGGAAAGCTTTTCCTGGGCTGAAAATTCTGGGTGGCCCGATGACATTGTGTCTTTGGTTAATTAAAAACTATAACGTAGGGGCCGGCCCGAGGCAGAGTGGTTAAGTTCGCATGCTCTGCTTCTGTGGCCCAGGGTTTTGCCTATTCAGATCCTGGACATGGACATGGCATCACTCTAGCCCATGCTGAGACAGCGTCCCACATAGCAAGCCAGAAGGACCTACGTCTAGAACATACAACTATGTACTGGGGGGGCTTTGGGGAGAAGAAGAAAAAAACAAAAAGATTGGCAATAGATGTTAGCTCACGACCAATCTTTAAAATATATATATATATAATGTAATGTCTTATACATATAAATGGATGTGCATATATGTTTTGAAGCATAGTAATATAAATGAACACCAATGAACCCTTCACTTGACTTAGGGACTGTGGGCTCCTCCCATACCCCATCCTTCTGCCTCCTCAAAGTCACATTATCCTTAATTGTGTTTATCATTTCCTTGCCTATAAAAAAATAGTTTTGCACATATGGATATATCAGCAAACAATTTATCGTTCAGCTTTTCTTGAAGAACTATTGAACTTTATAAAAATGAGATTATACTGTATAGTCTCCTGGGACTTTTACTCCATTCAAAATTATGTTTTTTAAAATTCATCCATGTTGCCTAGAAAGAAAAACAAAATAAATGAAGAAGAATGCTCTTAGCAGCATTCCTCATAATAATCCCAAACTGGAAGCTAATTGTCCATCGACTTTAGAAAGGATAAACAAATTGAAGTACATACACATAATGTAATACTATCCAGTAATGAAAATAAAATACTGCTACCCTCAACAACACGGATGAATCTCATAATGTTTACAAAAGAAGCCAGACACAAAAAAGTTCGTGTTATGTGATTCCATTAATATAAACTTTCAAAACAAATAAAATCAACTTATGTGTTAGCAGTTGGGACAGTGGTTACCTTGGAGGAAGAGAGTAAACGGCTGGGAGAGGGCACAAGGTGGACTTTGAAGATGCAGGTAATGTTCAGTTTTTAGATCTGGCTGGTGGATATACAAGGATGGTCATTTTTGAAAAATGATCAAACTGTCGATGGTACTTATGATTTGTTCGTTTTAATTTTAAAAGATTCACCCGTGTTGTTGTATATAGCTGTAGTTTATTATTTTTTTCTTTGCTGTATAATATCCAACTATGTAAATATAATTCAGTTTATCTATCTATTCCCCTGTCACTGAACATTTGAGTTTTTGTTTCTGGCAGATATTTATTTGACAAACGATGCTGCTATATATTTCTTGGTGCACATACACAAGAATTTCTTTAAGGGAAGTGTATATGAGGAATAAGGAATTGCTAAGTCTATGTGAATATTCAACTTCAGAAGATTATATCACATTTTCCAATTTACATTCCTACATTCCAGCAGTGTATGAGATATGCTATTCTGCATTGTTACTAAACCTCAGTATTTTGCCAATACTATGGTATCTCACTGTGGTCTTAATTTAGATTTTATAATTAATTAGGAAGCGCACCTTTTCATATGCTTATAGGTCATCCTTTTCCTTTTTTTTTTTTTTTTTTTTGCAAAAGGCCTGTTCAGGACTTTGGTGCTTTTTTCTGTAACTGTTTTACTCTAATTGATTTGTAACAGCTCTTTATATAATCTGGATACTAATCATTTGTGGACTATTTTTGTGAAAATTTCTTCTCCCAATTTGTGGCCTGTATTTTCACTTTCTTTACCTAAAAAAAAATTTTTTATTATAGAAAAGTTCAAACATATACAAAAGTAGAGAAGATAGTATAATGCATAAAAGTGCAAATAATACTGTGAACCTTCACTCATTTTCAACAATTATCAAAACATGGCCAATTTTGTTTCCTCTTTATCACCACCCTCATCTCCCACAGGATCATTCTAAAGCAAATCTCAGATACATAATTTTATCCATAAATATTTCAATATATATGTCTACAAGAAAAGGATCGTATAAATATTAAAGTAGTGTTCCCATCTAGAAAACAAATAATTCCTAGTACAATTAAATAGACAGTTTGCAAATTTCTGTTTCATACATAGTTTTTATAGTTTGTTTATTCAAATCAAAATCCAAATAAGGTCCATACGTTTCACCTTTTATCTGAATAGAACTGGACTATTTAGTATTTGGGTGTTTGGTGACTTCGGCATAATTAAAAACTTCAAATATCTTTAATTCTGCCTTGTTAGAATTGTGGAAGCCAGAAGCCATAACCTCAACAGCAGAGACGCTGAGAACAGGAAGTGTTGACTCGTGTGCTTTTCAGAACCAACACCACTTGGCTTTACCTTTATTTAAACAGATAAGGCAGGCTAGTGAATATCTACAATATCCTAAAATTTAGATTGAACCTTTATTTTTCACCTTGTCTTCAGTTTTTCCCCGCTATGTGTATATACCAAGTAGGATAAAGAGCTTTCCTGTAATCTTCAAAGGTTTGTTTTAATACTTCCACTGACTGCTAACATAAAACCCTCAGACCGTACATGCTAAATTCAGGACATTCTATTTGTTACAATGTTTCAGAAGATTGTATTTTGTTCACGTTGTCAACTATGTTTGTCGGAGGAGGCTGATTTTGCTCAGCAACCTTGTGATAATTAATCATTTACTATGATCGCACAGCTGTGGTTATAAGTAACCAAATATGTAGGTTTGGAGCCAACTGGCCACCCTCCGGGCTCGGACCTTTGTCCTCGCCACTCCCTCTCGCTTCGTCTTCCCCCGATACCACGTGGTAGCCCATCCCGTATCCTTCCTGTCCTACTCAAAGGTCACCTCCTGCAGGATGCCTCCTGACCCTGAATCGGCCTCTCCCAACACTCCCTGTCTCCCTGTCCCCCTTTATTTTCCTCCAGCGCGCCTATGACCACCCACCACACTAATATTTTGCTCGTTTATCTTATCCTCCGACCCCCAAGTAACACGTAAGCTCCACGAGGGCCGCGGACGTGGTTCGCTTGATGCTCCATCACTAACTCGTAGAAAAGCTCAGAGCGCACAGCAGGCGCTTAATAAATACTTGTCAAACGAACCGGAGGCGCCTGTGAGGCGCGTGCACCGAGCCTCTGCTCGCGCCACGCCGCACGACACCGGGCTCCGCGACGATTGGGCCACCGCGGGGCTACGGGGACGCAGAGGGCGCGCTCGTGGATCTGAGGTCGGCCGGCCGCCCCAGCGCGCGCTCAGCTCAGGGCCTTGGCGCCTGCGGCTCCTGGCGGCCGTCTGCGCAGACGCAGCTTTCATCTCCCTCGAGGGCAGCATGGGCCTGGTGCCCGGGTCCTCCGCCCCCGGCGCCGAGCCGGCTTTTCTCTTGGGGAACCACCGGGGCCTTCTGGCAGGAATCGGCGTCCGCGGTGTTGGAGGGAACACGCCCGGTGCATGCTGGGGGCGCTCAGGGAATGCCGGGATCGCGGGGCATGCCGGGAGCATGTCGTGCCTGGGGCATTCTGGGATTGGCGCCTCAGGGAGGTGAGGGGCGGCTGAGGCGAGTGGGGCGCGGCGGCTGGGAACTCAGACATTTGCCTGAGGGAGCGCGGGAAGCCGCTGCTCCCCCCACCCCGCCGCTTGTCGACGCGAGGAGAAGCCTGGTGCGTCGGCCTCGAGAAGCGGCAGCTTGGGGGGCATTGCTTTTACCGCTTTTAAGAACGTTTTGCGAGTCCTGTTTGCCGCCGGGAAGCAGTCGGAGCCGGGCAGCCGGCGCCCCGGGCGCTCGGCCGTCTGTGGGGGCTGTGCGGGCGGCCAGCGCGGGGTGCTCCCGGCGTCTGCAGCGGAAACGTGTGTATTCGTTTCTGAAGGTCCACTGGCGCTGAGTTTTAGGGCATCTTTTATCAGTAATTTATGGAATCGCCTATTTAGGCGAAATAAAGGCCTCGGAGACGTGTCCACCCAATACCCTGGCTGTAAGTCGGAAACAGGCCCGCGAGGGGCGCACACTCGCCTGGTCCCTGGAGCCAGCATGGACGAGGCCTTCCGGCTGGGGCGTCCCCTCTAGAGACGAGCACGGCTCTGGGCTCCACTTCTGGTGGCGGCTAGACGGCCTGGGGCCCCTGGGGGCTGGGTTCTCTGAGGCCGCGGATCTGGAGTGTTGTCGGCACCCCTTGCTTGTTGGTGGCACACCAGCAGGACGGAGTGTGCCCAAGTGGGCTCTGAGCCTCGTGGTCAGAACTCTCGTGTGTGTGATGCCCACGAAAAAAATCCATAACCAGTCTATAAATGGAAATTGGAGTGAGCTTATTCTGAGCCCGATCTGAGGACTAGCGTCGCCCTGGGCATCCTTCCCCAAGGAAGGAAGGGCGCCAAAGAGGTGGGGTGTGCAGAGTGGTTATGTACCCTCAAAGGGCATGTTTCGCATTTGGTTGAAATGTCCCGTTTACAGTAGTCACGGGCTGCCCTGTCAGCACAGCGACTGATGACAGCAGGTAGCAGGTCTGCTGTCTCCAGCGGTGGTCACAGGGTGGGTGTGGCAGTCAATTCCTACCTGGGGAGACATGCTTATCCTTAAGGAAATGCCAGTGCGGGGGAAGTTGCATCTTTGTCTTCAGGCCATTTGTACTTGTCCTTTGGGAGGTAGCAGATGCTTAAAGCAGACGTGCAATGCAGGCTCAAGGGCCATGGCAGGCCCTTTCGGAAGAGCAGGGTCAGGCTGAATTGGGTTTACCCCAGATGGCTTCCTCCGTGCTCCAGTATATCCTGTTGATGGCCGTTTGTCTGTCAGCCATGAGGCTCTATCTGCCAGGGTTCCCACTTTACAGTGTAGTTGTTATACAATCTCGGAAAGGAAAACAAACTTTTGATCTGTAAATTCAGCTAATTATGAACTCAAAAAAGTTTTAAGGTAATTCTAAGTAAAACAGATAAATTCTTGCCTTTTCCTGAACAGATCAATGTTGTAACACGATGTCCTGAGCAGTCTGAAGATTAACAAAACCAGGAGAGGACTGCCCACAGCAGTTTCTTGGTGACTCTGCTGTAAGATTGTTAAAGGAAAAATGAGGTAGAAAGGAATTTTAGTGGGAAATGTGTTTTAGAAATGAAGGTAACAAATTGCAAACTTTTGCCCATGTCTTTGATGCATTTTCTTTAAAATATGCACAGTTGTACCTCTGGGCCCAAGCCGTGGTCATTCTTTGCTTCATGTTTTACCTCATTCATTATCCATGCCCTTTGCTAATATGCTTCAGAAGGAGTGAATTTTAGGCAAAATTGTGAAGTAGGTTGCGTTTGCCTTAGAAACGTTCACTTGTACCTCCTTTTAACTTTTCACAACAGTAAGTTTTTACGTAGGAGGGAGCAGAAAAGCAGAAGAAAGGGATGTTTTTGTTTGTAATGGTAGGAAGCATTTGATTAGGTGGTCAACACCTCGTGTGGGTTTGTTTGTGTTCGCTGTTCTAAGAGTACTTGCATTTGTAAAAGAACCAGTGTTCTCTAGCGATGAAAATTTCCACGCTGGTTCTTGAGTGAGGAAGAGTGTGGGGTCGGAGGGCGTTGCCAGCATTCCTCAGACGGCGCCACAAAGGCGTTTGGTTACTGAGATGAGACTTAAGGCAGGCCACACTCCAGATTCCTGGGCTAATAGGTGGTTACTTTTCTACTTAAAGAGAAAATATGTTGATGTGAAAAAGTTTGTTGGAATCTCAGTTAACGTCCCCTGATGTATTTGTGCACATTAGGGAAGTTGAGCTTAAATTACATTCCAGGCTTTTTTTTTGTCTGTAATACATAACATGGATTTCAAACGTATGCCCTGTGAATTATTAGCTGTAGACTGTATCCCAAATAGAAGTTGTAAAGCCAGGTAACTAGTGTAAAAGGAAACTAAATAACAATTTAGAGATTTCAGTAAACATTTTCTTCCATGTAAAATGACGAAAAAGATATTCTCAACCTTGGAGTGCTTTACAGAGAGAACCTGAAACAGCAGAAGACTGTTTCTTCTTCTGTTTGATTTTTAAAAAATTATTACATTTTGATTTTTAAAAAATTATTAGTCTTAGGAGACATTTTGTTTGCCTGAAAGAAAAAAGAACGAAACTTAAGAGTAGCCAGAAACTTTGGAAGAAGTTTATTAAATAAAGACGGTATAGTAGAAGTGTAGTTAGTACCTAGAGCAGAGTAGGCATTTAATAAACAGTGCTGGATTTTTGTATTATTTGTATTCAGTTTTCTATTTGTAGTATAGAACTGCAGGTTTAAAATGCTAGATTATCTTTTTGGGATGATGAAAGTGATATAAAATGTATTCTGATGGTTGCATAACTGCGACTATAGTAAAAACCATTGAATCGCACACTTTGAATGGGTGAATCATATGTTATGTGAATTACATCTTAGTAAAACTTGTACCAAAAAAATTCTAGATTATCATTAGAAAACAAAGGTGAAATGTCAGTGATATTTAACTGCTGATGTGTGCAAACTAATTTGATTTTATTCTTATTCCAGCACAATATCCAATGTTCTGTGATGGGTTGGTATTGAAACCCTGTTGATCAGATAGTTTACCTTTTTATTGCTGTTTGTGTATTTGTTTGTTTTTGAAGGCCTGATTGCTGAGACATTGAGTCAACAGGAAAATATGAATGATTCTAGGCAGCAGTCGCTGTTCTTCCTCACACTTCCAGACTTACACAAACTCTGTGCCGTCAGGATAATACTGAGTCGTGGGGAGGCAGACACCGAGATTAGGAGTACACAAATGAAGATGTGCCGGTAAAAAATGCATTTTGTAACTAAGGCTTTCTAAACTTTTTGAGACTTGTAAGAGCCGTTTTAGAAGCATCTCCTTTAAAGCAAAATACTCATTCACTCAATCTATATACATAATTTTAAAATAAAGGAATTCAATTTTGTTCAGACTGTGTATTAGATTACATTTAGTGTAGGACTGAAAATACTTGAAATATAATATCTCACTGTTGAGTTTTTATATTGTGACTTCTTGTGTGATCTTTTTAATTTAAAATTTTTACACACATTGATGAATTAAATCAGGCTCCCAAAATCTTAGAGCTAGTAATTAATAAATATTTACCAAGTACCTACTGTTTATGAGGGTCTTTAGGAGATATTGCAAACATTTTAGATTAATATAGTTGTTTAATTTTCAGATCAACATAAGAGTTTCTCCAAGAACTATCTTAAAATATCTGACCCAAGAATTCTTTGAAAAACAGCTTAGGTGAAGCCTAAAGTATGACTCCATGATTACTGAGCACTCACCGTGTATTAGTTCCTTAAATTGTTTGAGGCACTCAAAGAAGGACTTAGAATACATGGACAAGATTATATCTGTACCTGAATTTCATGGAGAGGAACAGACACTTACAAGATTGCATAAGGGCCAGAAGTAAGAAAGACACTCTTAGAATGTCCTCCATTTTGCTCTTATTTATAAAACTTTTCTTGTCCCCATTGTGTATTTTCCCACCCAAGTGATCCAGCAGCCTGTACCTTTCCTGCTAAGGTGTAATTTGATACCTATTGAGAATTTATCTCTGACCCCTTTGGGAAACAAATAAGTAGAAAACCTTAAATGAGATTTTCTGCTATTTGCCTTCAAATGGATGGTGGCTACGCCCACAGAGTGAGGTGTTTGACTCATCATCCCAATAACTGACAGAGAGGCTGGAACAGATTGAGCAGAGACCTGGCTGTCAGACAAAGGCAGGACTTGCAAAACCAAGTACCTGCTGCACCAGGGTTTTGACAAAGATGAGGCCACCAGAAACAGGTTGGCCCATCTTACTTTTTGAGGTAACCACCCCCCACACCTCCCACGCACACACACTTGTGGTTTTTAAAATTTGTTTCCTTGATGATTAGTAATTTTGAAAATTTTCATATTTCCAGTTCTATTCTCTTTTGTGTTTTTCCCACCTTTTCCTTGGCCTTTGAAACAAAATTGATGGTAATTTGAATTGTGAGGACTTTTGTTGTAAATTCATTTGACTGTTGAATATTAAACTAAAACCACTACCCACTTCATTGTGGCTTGGAAAAAAATCTCTTTTTGAAGGAAAAGAATCTAGTCAATGGTTCTAACATTAAAGTATTTGATAACTTCACTGATAGGTGCATCCTTGGACTCTTGCCTCCACTGCCGCCGGATCATCACTTAAAAATAAAGGAAAATGGAACAAATAGAACTTAAAAGAGCTGGATTTTTCACAGTGTTTAGATTTCTCCATTTCTTAGGACAGAAGTGGAGTTTTAAATGAGGAATTTAGGTTCACAGATGAAAGAGGTTGGGAAACTCAGATGCAGGGACAAGTTTTCATATTAATGTCAGTATCTAAAACTTTATAATTTTTTTAATTCAAATCTTGACTGAGTGCCTCAGTGTTCAAGATACCATGCTAAGAGATACAGAAATCTATAACACAGTCCTTGCCTAGAAGAACCTTGAACTTTTGATTGGGGCTAAGCCATTTTTGAATGCTCTGATAATGTAAGAAGAAAGTAGGCAAGTCCACTTTAAAATTAATACGTTTCATCTCCACAGGCAATTGCTGTTTTTGCACCAAGATATTCTTGCATCACCTGTGCCTGGAATATTTAGCCAAATTTGGGTAGTGATGGCGGTTAGTATTTTAACATTTTATAAAGTATTATTACTAATTATTGGGAGCAATATTGATGAAATATTGATAATCTAGGTATTAAGTATAGTTCAAATTGAAGATGGTTTATCAAGACAAATTACACTGTGTTGTAGTTTGAACCATTAACAGACTAACTTTGATATACCTGATGTTTAAAATCTATTTTTGTGGTTATAATTTCATAATTAGGTTTCTCTGTCATAAATGTTAATATAAAAACTATTAATGAATAAAATGTTATAGCATAATTTTTTATAATAGAATGGGCTTAATCCTTTTCTCATATTTTTGTCCTTTAGAATTAATATAAAGGAAGAAGTTTCTCATTCCAACAAATCTGCAATTATTTTTAAACAACTTAGATCAACATTTTTTTTAATTTGGAAATTTTATTAAAAAAAATTTTCTACACTTAGTAAAATTAGATCAAGAAACATATTTCCTAGCGCTGTATATAAGCAGAAATGATAATGACATGCCAAAAATATTTATAAAAACCATATTCTGAGATTTTTGTCAAAATCTTTCTGAAAATCCTCTTATTCTGGGATTTTAATTCCCCAAAATCCAGTGAAATCAGCATTTATTGACAATGCTGGTAAGCCATCCAAAATCTTCAGGACTTGTTTTTCTTCTAGGTTATGTGGTTACAGGTACATCTTTTATCTTCTCATCTTTAATACGGTTTTTAAGAAAGACAAGATGTTGGTGAATAAGTAGATACTAATGCTTCTTATTTGTGTTCTTTTCTACCTGAAACATTTATGGAACAAAGAGGACATTGTTTTAGAGTTCTCATAAATTCAAGTATCCTAATCTGAGCAAGAATGAGAAGAGGAAAGTAACCATCTAAAAATATATTTTGCTTTCTTAAAAAGATATTACAAGCTGTAAGAAAAATTTACAAAAATATTTAAAGTAGAAAATGGGATTATTATACGTACTATTTTGAAGCTTGCCTTTCATTTCCCCTTTACTGACCTCCTTTGGATATTCTTCTGTGTCAGTATATGTATCTTTCTCATTTTAAGAGAAAGTATTTGAAATGTGAAGTATTTCATTGTATAGGTGTATAATAATTTGACTATTTCTAATGCACATCTGAGTTTCTAGTTTTGTGCTATTATAAACAATGCTTCAGAAAGCATCAGTGAAATTATGTCATTTTTATTTGGTGGTCTGTATGGGTTAGACTCTTAGAAGTGGGATTGCAGCACATTTTAACTATAATCCAGAGACTGCTAAATTGCTCTCTGAAAAAGTTGTACTAGATCGCATTTCAACAAATAGTGTATGAGAGTGCCTATATTTCCACATCTCACGAACACTGGATATTAGTAGCCTTTACATATCTGCCACTCTGTTAGGTAAAAAATAACATCTTTTAATTTGTATTTCTTTCTTTGAGTTGCAGCACCTTGGTCTTTTGAACTTTCTCTTGATCTTCCACTTTTGTCCATTTTCCTTATTCATTTCTAAGAACTTTTATATTAATAAAGGAGTTAAATATTTGTTATATGAAATTTATTGGCCTCTTCCTTTATATGGTTTCTGGGTTCATGTCACTCCCAGAAGTTCTTTCCTCACTTCGAGATTGTACCCACAGATTCTATTTCAGGGAGAGAATGATCATCACTTGCTTCTCCAAGGCATAGAAGCTGTTAGAATAACAGCCTGATTCTGTGCCCTCTGATGTATAATGTTTAAATTCTTTGTGTATTGCGTTATTTAATAATATATTTATGTCACTTTGTAAATGTGCATTTTTGTTATAGATACCATTTTATAAAGCTGGAAAACTTAATACCTATATTGAAAAACATGGAGCTAAGGTAAGTTTTAAAGAGACTAATAGTTCCAGATACTGTGTATAGTGATTTTGTATTCAGCTTCTTTTGTCAGCAAACAAAAATTGGAGTATCTTTCTCATACGTCATTGCTATGCAGTGAAAAAACCCAACAATTTTTTCCCAAACAATTATTTTGTGCACATTTAGTTTAGAAAGAAGGGCAAAGGCTTAATTTTTGTTGGGTACTTTCTTGCAGGCGTTTTATGTGGCATACTCTCATTTACCATACATATCTTCCAGGAAGTAAATATCCCCATTTTTACAGATGAGCAAAATGAAAACCGAGGAGATAAAAATATCTTTCATAATCATATAGCTAGTAAGTGGAGGAACTAAACGCTATAGATTGTATTCTACATGGTGATGAGTTTCTGGATCTTAACCAGGAAAATATGAATACATAGGGTTGAGCACCTCTCGTGTCTCAGTTACTCAGGTTGTGGATACTTGCCTGGAGCTCCCTTCATTTCTCTGCATATATCGCTGAGACACTGTATCCTTGGTCATTCTAGCACCCTGTCTAGGCATCAGTGCTGGCCTCTGTTTCTAGATCTCATGACATTCAGGATAATGAGGTTTCTGGACATCTCCAAGATGAGATACTTTGTTTAGGTTCTAGGAGGATGTTAAGGTCTCAACAATAACCAGAGGTGCTTTGCAGTTCCTTGAGAAATCTTTGAATAACCCCAAAAGATGGTTTTGGCCATCAGTCACAACCAGTCACAAAGCAGTATTCTTTGGGAACAACGAGGGAGGATTTTAGTTAAATCTTTTTGCTGAGACAAGCTTTTGGTCATCTGAGGATTCTACTTGTCCTGAAAAGGCCATGTATGTACTGTGAGAACCTAATTTACAGTTTGTCATTCACCTAGAACTAGAACCTGGGGTCTTCCAGAGATCCCTACAAAATTCTGTCCTTTATTGTGGAAAGTATCTCGTAGTTTAGTGGAGAGCCCTTTGCTGTCTTACTGGCCTGCTTTTGGAGAATTTAATCTTCTTATTAATATGTTGACTTCAAGGTCAAAATTGTATTATTTTTTGACAAATCTGTTAGCAAAAGGATAGAGACAATATGATTTTAGAGATGAATTCTAAAGATCAAAACAGTTATTTTCTGTCTGTGAGAATAGGTAGCATTTCAGCATTGATTTAATAAAAGAATATTTATACCAAGTACCATAATTTTATGTATATATATCTTCAGATTATAAGAAAAAATGAAAAGAAACATATAACCCCTTATCCTCATATTCTAATGAAAACGCTTACTTTGTGGTCTTTCTTCTAGTCTTATAATTCACACCTTTGACTTTATTACTGCAGGGTGTCCCATGTCAAAAATGTTTAAAATCTTTTTATTTATAATATTACCCTTTTTCCTCTTATCCCAGTTCCTCATTCCTACTAAATAAACTTGTTTTGACCCCTTCACCAGACTTCCAGATCCTGAATTCTTTGTTATTCGTGAACTTTCTTCCAATCTGACTTGCTTTTCTGCCTTGTTGAGCCTTCATGATTATGCTGAGCTTTTTTTATATGGATACTTTCTGTGTAATAGTAATCATAGCAGATGTTTATTGAATATCTGTGATACACTGAGCATACTATTTGTTTCTGAATATAAAGCTATGAACCACGTAAACTCCTTGCCGTCAGAAATCTTCTAGTTGGAAAAAATTCTCTCCTTTTCAAGTTTTTGACGTTTGTGTAGAATTTTTATTACTTCTTCCATAAATATTTGGTAAAATTCACCCATCAAATTATCTGGGATGGAATTTTTCTTGTGGGAAGGTTTTTAACTACAATTTTAATTTCTTTAATATGTAGTAGAGCTATTCACGTTATCTATTTCAAGGAATATGTCCACTTTATCTGAGTTATAAAATTTATTGGCATAAAGTTACTTACCATATTCCCCTGTTTTCTTTTGCTGTAGAATCTGTAGTTATGTCACCTCTCTCATTCCTGATATTGGTAATGTGTATCGTATCTTTTGTTTTCCTCCCAGATCAGTCGTGTTACAGGCTTAGCAATCTTACTTGTCTCAGAGAACAAGCTTATGGTTTCATTGATTTTCTCTGTTGTTTTACTGTTTTGTATTTTATTGAGTTTCATTTGGGTCTTTATTATTTCCCTTCTTAGGCTTATTTTGGGTTTTGTTTGCTTTTCTTTATGTAGTTTCTTAAGGTGGAAATTGAGGCCACTGATTTGAGAACTTTCTTCTTGTCTAATATAGAGACATTTAGTACTATAAATTTCCTCCAAAGTATATGTTTTGTTTTGATTTTCCTCAGTTCAGAATACTTTCTAATTCCCCTTTGATTTCTTCTTTGATCTATGAGTTAGTTAGAAGTGTGTTATGTGGTTACCACATATTTGAGGATTTTCCAGGAATCTTTCTGTCTTTGCTTTCTAATTTAATTGTTAAGAGAACATGTTTTGTATAACTTGAATCTTTTAAAATTTACTGAGACTTGTTTTATGGCCCAGAATATGGTGTATCTTAGTAAATGTCCCTTGTCCAGTTGAGGAGTGTGTGTATTCTGCTGCTGTTGTGTTAATAGTCTCGAAATATTAATCAAGTCACATTGGTTGATAGTATCGTTAAGCTACTATATTCTCGCTTATTTTCTGTCTACCTGTTGTATCAGTTATTGAGAAAATATGGTACAGAATTTGTCCCTGACATTAGCTGAAGTGATCAATGACACCATCTTTGTCCTGGAAGGCATCCAAGTCACCAATCAGGATGGTTATGGATGATAGAATTGCTTGCCCCAGACTTCTTCCTTGTATGCCAAGGCTGAGTGTGTGCTGATACTTCCTCCTGTATCTGGGTTAATACCTCAAGCTAAGGGAAAAATCAATACAGAATAAAAGAGAAAGCAATTTGGCTTTCTAAGGCAGATCCTGATAGTTTTTGAGATTTGTTCAGCTGGTTGGGTCTGGGACCCTGGAGGTATGTTTGAGGTCAACATTTCAGGTTGGCCTCATCCTCCTGCTTAGAGTCCTATTGATAGTAACCTTAATTAAATTCTCTATGAGACAAATTGAACAGATCTAGTCCCATCCTCTGCCAACAGATTAATTGCTTGCATCCTGGGAAAATTCACCAGAAGTCAAAATGGTTCAAATACAGGGGGTAGATAATATTGGGAGGCAGTTCTTCGCTCTCTCACTTTTCTGTGTGTCTCGCTGGCAGAGGCAATTGGCAGTGTTTTCTTCTGGACTGTATTTTCAAGGATGTGTGTATAGCAAACAGCCTTGGTTCTTTCCCCAGTCCTGGGTAGTTTCCTCATATGCAAGTGCTAATCCATACTCAGCTGAATACTCAAGATCTGAGTTTGCTGATCTGAGTTTGGTCTCTGTACAGCTCTCTCCTCTCCAATACTTTGCCCCAAAATATCTAGCTTCTGTGGCCTCCCTGGACTCTCAGCTCTGTCTCCTCAACCCAAGGATCCCACTGGCTCTTCCAGGATTCCCCCTCCCTGTACCACAGCCTGGAAACCCTCCTTAATCAATATGATTGGGTAATTATAGGTTTCCTTAGGAATTGCTCTTCTTTGTTGCTTGATGCCCAACATCTTGTGAACCATCATTTCATATAACTTGCCCAGTTTTTTAGTTATTTCAAGTAGGAGGATAAATCTAGATTCTGTTACTTCTTATATCAGAAGTGAAAGTCCTGATTTTTAAGAATTTTTTACAAGATACTCTGCTGGTCGCTTGTGTGCCATGTAAGTATTTAATTGTTTTCTGATGTTGAGCTAGAGTGAACAATAATGAAAAAGATTACAATATAGTTCTGGTCTGGTTTCCTCTTTGTAGAGCAGAATACAAAGTAAAGTTTAAGATTTTAGCCTGGAAACTCTAAAAGCTTAGGCTTATTGGGCCAGGATAAGTAGGTAGAATTTGGCCATTATAGCATGATAGTAGTCATGGTTTCAAAGTGAATATAGTTTAACACCTCTCTAACTTTAGAACCAGATAGGATTGGCTATAGTGGTGACTATAACTTATATCCACAACAGCCCAGTTTGTTGGCTGGTAATCTAAACACACAGACATTTTCTCTGAATTTATAGGGACATACCAATTGTTGTAAATTTGCCCACATTTTGCCCTTTAATGTTTTTAGGTGGAAGCTCCACAAAGAGTAATTCCTGTAATTCTTCAAAACTGCCTTTCATATTCACTCACAGCTAGACTTGCTCCAGCCTGGAATAAAACTGGCCATCTCTTGGTGCAAGGTGACTTTATCTCTTTTAGTCTTTGGGGCTTTCTGAGCTAGATTACTTCTATTTTTTGCATCTGTTTTTAATTGCAAGATATGTTATTTTTAGGAAATAGTTTTTAAAGCATAGCCCAACCAAGCATTCTCAAGCAAGCCCACAACATAAATGCCGTCTCCTTATTTTGGGATTATGTCCAGAGGCCTGCTGAGGTTTCTTTAAAGAAAGATTTTTATTATACAATACTTGATGGCTAGAAAGGAATATATGTAAGCATAGAGAATTATAATAAAATGAACACAAATTACTAATATTGTTGGAACCAAAAGGCTATTTTGCATTTTGTGTTGAGGTCTGACCATTTTCTAAGTGTTTCATACCAGGAAATAAATATTTGAGGGAAGCATTGAGTATTTCTGTACTTTTAATTGAAGGCATACTTTTTGAGTGATTGTGTTTTTTTCTCTGAGCTGGCATCAGATATTCCTTTGTGTAAAATTGCATTTTAAAGCATTTTCCTTAGCTTTGGTAATTTCACATAAAAAGTTATATATCAAGCATGATTTATTAGTTACAATAATATGGCATATTCTATGAATTTTTTAAGGAAGAGAATTTCTTTCTCAGATGGGAAAGCAAAGTGCTGTTGGTAAGTAAAAATGCATTGTCAGTAAATAAAACAATATCATTAACAGTTGTTAAAAAAACAATGTTACAGATTGTGGGCTTATAATTTTGATGACTGGGTTATATCAGAATTTAATCAGATATTATTATAATCACAGTTTCACCTGGGAAATCACCTCTGGTTTAAAATATATATTCTACCTATATGAGAAAAAATTCACTTCTTCTAATTGGAATGAAAGCTATATTTGTAATTTCTCTACTTAAAAATATAACTATGAAGGAGTTTAATTCAAACATAGGCTATAATGTTTATACATTATAAGTTTATACGTTATAATTTATAAGTTTATACATTGGAAACTTATAGTGTATAGTTTCCAGAATCATATCATCAAAAATTCTTTTCTCCACATCCTCTCCAACACTTGTCATTTCTTGTCTTATTAATTATAGTCATTCTGATGGGTGTGAGGTGATAACTTATTGTAGTTTTGATTTGCATTTCCCAAATGATTGATGATGTTGAACATCTTTTTATATGCTTGTTGGCCATCTGTATATCTTCTTTGGGAAAATATCTATTCATATCCTTTGCCTGTTTTTTGATCAGGTTGTTCATTTTTTTGTTCTTGAGTTGTATGAGTTCTTTATGTATGTTGGAAATTGAACAGATTGGGGGTTCCCAGAGGGGAAGGGGGTGGGGGAGGGTGAAAGAGGTAAAGAGGCACATATGTATGGTGGCACATAAAAACTAGACTATTGGTAGTGAACACAAGGCAGTCTACACAGAAACTGAAATATAGTAATGCACACTTGACATTTACACAATATTATAAGCCAGTATAACCTCAATAAAAAAAATTTTTAAAAGAAAAACATTCTTTAGTACTGTTGTAAATAAAAGCTTTATTTCTTGTAAGAACATGATTCTTTTTCTCCTTAAAAAAAAAAAAAGATTTTCTAAAGAGAGACAGATGACCTAAAATACACAGTTTACAATATAGTCTAATATAATTCATTCACTGGCATGCATGACTGTATTGCAGGTAGACATGTTCCTAAACAGTAGTCCAGAGATAGCTGCTAGGTGAAATTTCTGAGCCTGAGTAAACATTATTAATCAGACATGGTGCTTTCACCACCATTTGGGCATAGCCTTAAATCCTAGGCTAGCATCCGTAATCCACAGCTATTCGGTCTGAGTCGACTTTCAAGCTGAAGCCTCTTTGCCCTGTTTGGGCTAGTTTTATGTTTAAGTTGGACAGTGGCAGTCACTGTGTGCTCTAGCTCTAGAAGAATGGGTTCATTACCTAAATTTAGTTCCATCCCCAAATACTATGAGGAGACACAGCTGTAGGATATTAAAGATAAAAGTTTGGAAGAGCAAAATTCTTCACTCCTCTGTTAGAATTTTTTCTTTTAGTTTTACTGAATGTGATGTTCTATAGCAAAACTGACAAACCGTAAGTATATAGCTCATTGAATATTCACAAGCTAAACATATCCTTACAACCAGTCCTGAGATTAAGAAACAGAACATTACCAGTAGCCCAGGAGCCCCCTCATGCTTTCTTCCAGGTACTACGCCTTCCCAAGATAACCACTATATTACTTGTATAAATAATTTTAATTATGAGAAAGCAAGGGAGAAGACTTGCAGCTCTGTGATCTGTAATATATGTGCCAGTGTATTTGAGGGCATTTGTTAGTAAAAGACTACTGAAGTCAGAAGTATGGGATGGTACCTCTCCTGATTTAAGAAGAAGATAGTCTCCATTTTTTACATATAATAGATATCAGACTTGTAAAAGGTATTTGTTGAGTTTTCCTCTCAACTGTGGGATGACTTGTTTTTCTTACTGTAAGCGTTCCTTGTGACGCCCCACCCCCCCACACATACACACCCACATATCTGTGTTGTTTCTTACCTTTGTCTTCTTTTTGATGTCTCATCTGCAGATTGTCAAATATTGTATGGTGATGATTTGAATTTTACCATGTGTGGAAAAAAAATCCATTCTTAACAGTTTCTAACTTGAATAAATTAATTTCTTTTGTTACTAAAGTACTTAATTTGATAGGATGGATTAATAATTCCAGAAAGTTCTGTGAAATATTTTATTTTCAGTACTAGACATCAATGTAACAGAAACTCAAGTTTGTCTAAGTATAGAAGCTTACACAATCAGACTGCCACCACCTAAGGTACCACATATTTTGATCTCTATAATTAGCTTTATTATGTTCACTTAATATATTTATTATTATTACTAACATGCTAGTAGGGTTTAATTTTTAACCAAGAGTGATAAAGTTTTCTTAATCAAAATCCATATTATTAAATGCTTGATATATTGATACTGTTCTAAATCTGTTTACCCAAAGAAAACATCATTCTGTCAGTTTAATACAGATCTGATCATATTAATCCTTTCCCAAAAGATGTAAAAAGAGGTCAAGGGATTATGAGCCATTCTCTCTAATCTTAATACAGTGTTTTCTCACCCGTTAGTACTTTGTTTTCACCTCACTGAGTCATCTTTGACTCACTATAAGAAAATGTCCCACAGGAGTATTTCGCAGGGTGAGAGAACTGTAAGTGGTAAATTGTTGTTGGCTATCTACGAGCTTAAATACCCTACACATAGGACACCTGGGGACCAGAGGAAAAAGCATTCCAGGAGATGGAAGAGGCTTACAAAAGGAGAGTGGGGCTATCAGCTTGGTTCTCTTCCCTCCAAAAGACCAAATAGAGTTATAACTCCCTAATGCGTCCTCCCGGGAAAAAAAAAAATTAAAAAAATTTGGTTAAGATGTTATTCTTACAAAATGTAAATACCTTCCTTTGGAAGGGGTTCAACTTCCTATAAATCAACATAAACAAAGAAACTGAAAACCAATTAAAATAAGTATAAAATAGGACTTTTGGTTTAGAAGATAAGAGGGGAAGCATGAAATACTTGATATACTGTATAGAGGAGAAATAGGGTGAACTGAAACATTGATTATATTGTTTAAAGTGGTTATGCATGATCTAATATAATTTAAGCCTTTAAACTACTTTATAACCGTCTCTGTGGGGGTGTGTGTAAGAAATATGTGTTTTTTACTGTTTCTTTTTGTTTGCCAAATTCTTTTGAGGACTTATGCATAAAAATCTTATTTCTATTAAAAGCTAAGAGAATTTGACATTTCTCAGAGTATTATAAAGGATTTTGATACTAAGAAGAACGCCGTCATTGAGGGACATTCAATTTTAAACAACTGGTGCTATGTTTTGCCAAGGTGAGACTGCAATTTGTAGAATCTAGGGTAGAGTCAAGAAATAGTAGTTTTCTCTGATTTTGCCTCAACGTTGGTATGTGCAAAAGTATAAATTATTTTCGTGAATTTTTGAAGCTGAATTTTAACTTATAAAAAGTATTAAAACAATATTGTTATACTCACAAAAGCCTTCAATTTCCTTTATCAAATTGCTAAAATAATTTTATTATACATTTTCATTTTTATTAGATCTAGCTTTAAAAAAATTTCTAGCTATTTCACTATGAAATTACAACTATTATAATAGTATCAATAAAACTTTATAAACTTGTACATATAATTAATGATGCATTATCGTTTGATATGAGCTGAGTTTTAAGTTTGTACTATCTTCAGGAAAAAATAATGGCTCCTTTTTAATATAAATAGTACTACTGAGATGAAATTTTAACCTGCTTAGGAAAAAGAACTTTAATTAACTAGCAGCATATGCATACTAATTTAATCATTGAAGCAGGGAAGAGGTAGGTAGGGAATATAGATTTGACTGTGATTCGTTCAACTCTTAATAGCCTTTTCTCTAAAGTCTAACAATTACCACGCATACCTCTGTGTGGCAACATTTTATTAGTCATTATTTTCTGTTTATAACTAACACATTGCATCAATCCAGTTTAGTTTTTCCTAACAATTCTAGTTGTTAAGATTTAATACAATGTGTATTTGGAACTGGAAACAAATGATTAGTTTATTGCTTATGTGTAGATAGTTTCTAAATGTTTTTGAACACTTTCTAAATTGTATAATTAACTTAAACTGTATCTAAGCATTGGCTCATAGTATTTTACCAACTGTTATTTTCCATAGTATGAAAATGGGACAAATAATAAGTATTCTTCACACCACACCTCCTGACTGTCCTTTTCAATCATATGAAGATTTCCAGATGCACTGGGAGGATCTGGTAAGGAATAGAAATATGTATTCTGTTAGATAAGTTAATTGATTTTGCTTCTTGTAATTTAACCTAAGTTTAGCTTTGTCCCAAGAGAATTTCAGCTTTGTTCTTAATTTTTAGTATGGCTATAAACTTCCAGAAGATTGTGGAAATATTAAAATATACTGCAGCATCTACTTCAAAATGATAGGAAGAAGGATCTTCACATATCCTTTACACACCACCTGTAACAGATGCTCTCTGCTCACCTTATGATCCAGTCTTGCTCCTGCCCTGATGTCATCATTTTCAGCCTTCTCTATGTCCACGTGAATCCACTTTCCCCCTACTTCTTTTTATCTGCATGAGTGTTTTTTGTCTTTCTTGGTGTTTTCCTATTTTTATTTGAGGATGAGCTTAATGATATTTTTTTTTCCTTAAACGCTATTGCAACAATTTAGACAGCAAAAGGAACTTTAGGTAGGAAAAAGTTTACATGATTCCTAGTAGTAAGAAAATAATCCTAAAATGGTGTTTAGCCAAGGGCTCCCTCTGGTGGCATTTTGGATATTATTGAAAGAGTGGAATTAAAAGAATTAGTTGTTTAACAGAGATTTTTCTTTTTGAAAACTTATTTAATTTTACAGGCCAAGTTTAGAGGATTTGACTTATACTTAATGCACCCTATTGATTTAATAAAATATCTTTGTTAACATTATTTTAAAAAATCTAAACACGAAAAAGCACACAAGTGCTCGGGTGAAACTCTTGAGCTTAATTAGTACTGATTGCACCTTTCCTGTCTCTTTTTGTTCTGACGAGCTAGAGTTTCAAAATGGAGGAAGGAAGAGCCATAATGTACTATTTCTGAATTCTATGTTTCCTAACCCAAATCTTAATGTAAAGTTGAAGTTGTCAGACCTCAATAACTGCCTTTCATTAGATGCAAAGACATTGTTCCACGTCTGCAGAGTATTTTTCATCAGAAAAGCAACTGCTTTTCTCAAAGAACTGCCTTTGGAATGTGAATACAGTCTATGTGTGTTGTTTCTCTGCACTGAATTTTTCCTGTTTTTGGAGATGCAACCTGTTTATTGTTGACTGTAAACGTTTATTTCTATAATTTCTAAAGGTCATAGCGTCTTTCTTATAAATGACTTTTGGAGTATCTTAGTTTGCCAGTCTATATGAAGAGCCATATAATGAGGGTACAATGAGTTGTCTTGATTGTGAGTGTTAAAGTAGAAGAAATTAAGATCCCTGTGAAAATACATGCTTTTTAGCTTTGGGTAATAGGGAATAAGCAATATGTAAGATAGGATTTAGTTAAATGTGCCTTTTTAACAGTTTCTATTTTAATACTTTTTTAGTTCCATAAAAATTTCTGTCTCTTATGTATGAAAACTGTTCCATTGTTCTTTAACGTTGTTCAAATACCCTCTCAGTTGCATCAGAAGTCAGCCCATACAGTTCTTTCCTAGGGTAGATTTGGAAGGTGTGTTGAAAAGTTTTCTTTCAGATTTAAAATCTAAACTGCCCCATATATGTGGATTTCCCATAAAGATGACAACTAAACCATGCTACTACACACAAGAACTAACTAAACCTCATGTACAGGTAAGAGTTTTCATGTCTTAATGAGTTCTGCAAACGTGCTGTGCACCTACACAATGGACTACCTACTCCATTGTGCTATAATTCTTTTCTGTCACTTCAGTATCCTCCTAATACTGTTTGTTATTCTTATACTTATCTCTTTGTCACTGCCATTTGTTGTTGTTATTGTATTCAGTGTGGCATTATAGTAGTAGTTGTTTGCTGGGCTGTTTTTCTAATTTAGCATGAGCTCCTAAAGGGCAGAAATCATACTCATCTTCTTATCCTGAGTGCCTGGTACATAATAGGTGTATCATTAAATGTTTCTTCAATGAATTAATGATCATATAGGATAGTTTGGAAACATTGCCTCATAGAAATCTAAGTTTACTTTGAACTTCTGTCACTTCATTTGAGTCTGATTGATTGAAAAAGCCTTTGAATAATTCCATTTATAGAAATTGAGTTAATTCAATACCATTTTCCTTGTAAGATGATATGCTAAGTGAAATCTTATTTATGAAAAAGAAGTAGCAGTTAAGCAATATTAATGAAGAAAATATGGTGGCCTATCTTCACATTCACTAGAATAAGATTTCTTTGTCAAAAGAAAACAAAATTAAAAGGAAAGTTTTAAAGAATAAATCTAAGGAAATTTAATTTAAATTTTTCAACAATGATCTTTCTTTTAAATGACAATTGTGTTTTCGTCAAAAGGACAGTCAAAAGTTTGAATAGTTTGAATATAATATGAGTTATATGAATACTTCTGTGTCTGCTCACTCTCTTTTCTTGACTTACTAGTCTCCTCAGTTTATTGTAGTTTCCACTGCTCCAATGATTTAGACTTTCACATGATGTTGACTTGCTGTGGCTCAAGCACTGTGCCTAATGGCATTTTTTCAACTTTTGCTGCCATGCTGCTTGATTCATTCTCTATATAATCCTCAACTAAAATTCGCCAGAGCCAATATCTGATAGGCCCATTCATCTTTGTAGGCCAGGTCGCATAATCTGTCACTAGCAGCATGTGGATTTGATATCCTTGGGTCACAGGGGCCAACACCTCATATAAATGGCATAAAAACATGAGAGCCTAGACAGTAGGGGCTATAGGCAGGGTTATTTCCTTAGAAGGCAGTGTAGGTGGACAAATAGCAGTTGACATCAGTGTGATAATGAACCTTAAAATTTTGCCCAGACATAACATTTTTAAAAGTTTAGTTTCTGGCCAAGTTCAAATCTGAGGAATTTAGAAGAAGAAATGTGATTATATCATGCATTTTTATTGAGTATATTTATTGAATACTTAATATTTCCAGCCCATGTCTGTTTATGAAATAGTGAATCTGGACAATATACATGTGAAAATTTGCTTCTTAAATGTAAGATAACACTTAATTGGAAATTCTGGTCTTTATATTGCTGCTGATGATTGGAACCGTGACAATAAGAATTTATCCTGCTCAGTTTTATTGAGCGCCTTCTGTGTGCCAGCTGCTTTTTTGTGTGTTATCTCCTTCAATCATCAAAACAGACTCTTGAGATGAAGAATTGTTTTCCCAATTTTACATAAGAGGAAACTGAGGCTCAAAACATCCAAATAATTTAACCAAAGCCGCACAGTTAAATACATTGCAGAATTAAAACTGAAACCCAGGAGTCAGATTCTGAGTTCTGAAATTAGAAAAAGTGTAGATCTGTGGTTAGGAGTTCTGGTTCTAGAAACCCTTACTGCACATTCCTAGTAAGGATTTCTTTCTAGCAGAATTTATTTAGGCAGGTTATTTGATCTCCCTGTGCCTCTGCATCCTCAGTTATACAATGGGGCATGGGAGTGGTGTTAATAACAGCACTTGTCACAAATTGGGCTCTCTAGGAGGCCAACTCTGGAGTCCAGTGCACGTGATGTTTGTTGGGGTCTGCCCTTGAAAGCAACGCTAGTGAAGGATAGGAAAGAAGTTTGGGTGAAGGGAGAAGTCAAAAGCAAAGCAGGTGCCAGATAGTCATGGTCAACCCCCTGTGGAGCTCTGAGGCTAAAATGACCCATCACGGTGGTTCTACATTGGCCAGAATAGGCAGGCCTTATACCCCTTCCTCCATCTGCCGTGGATTTGGGCCACAGAGAGACAGGCATGTCCTGGGGCGGCGGGACCAACAGCCCTTCCTTGAAGGGGTCTGGGCAGCACATCGCCATGTCCTTTGCAGTACTTGACAGGGTTTTTTGGATTTTGTTTTAGGACTAGGTAATACCTGGAACAGTTCCTTGTACTCAGTGAGCTCTCAGTAAATGTTAGTTCCTGTTTTTGCTACACCACATGTTAGCTCTAAGATTCATGCAGTGTTAAAAGCATAAGTTTAAAAAGTGAAAAATAAATTGATCAGGCTACTTAATAAAACTCAGCCAACTTAAATTAGCAGGAGTGCTTAGCCAAACTAGGTTTTTTTTTTTAACTTATGGAAATTCTCAAAGACACAAAGAAGAAATTAATATAATAAACTCATATGCCTATCATCTAGCTCTTCCTTGACATATTTTTCGGTGGAGGATAAACTGGAGAATTTTAAAACAAGTCCAAGATATGGTCTTGTTTCATCTGTAAAAACTTTAATATGCATCTCTATCTGATAAGAGCTTTTGAAAAAATTATTTAACAGTAATTCTTTAATATCATCCAGTACCAGTTTATACTCTGATTCCTTATTTATCTCAAAGATTTGTTTTAGAGGTTTTGTTTAAATCAGAATCCAAGCAAGACCCACATAATTTCGTTTGGTTGTTATATCTCCTAGATCTCTTTTATTCTGTAACAATCCAAACCCCCTTCCCTTTTATTTTTGCCAGTTATTTGCTGGAAACACTGGATCATTTGCCCTGGAGAATGTCCCATATTCTCGATTTGAATGATTGCTTCCTTGTTGTGTCATGTCATTTAAAGTTAACGTATTCTTCTAATCTCCGTATTTCCTATAAACCTGTGGTTAAGTCTAAGCTTAACTGAATTCTGGTTCAGCTTTAATCAAGAAACGCTCAAGTGGTACAATGCACAGAACCAGATTTTAATAGATAAAATGTATTTGCTCAGTTATTTTGGTCAATCCTCAAGTTTCATTTAATCATTACCTTAATTCTAGATCTCCATTAGATATTCATTCATATTTAAATATAGGTTAAAGCTTTAGTTTTCCTCTATAATTTTATGTTAATGTACAAAGTTATATAAATTGTATGTAAAGTTCTAGAAATTTGAAGTCAACCAAGCCACATTTGCCAGTGACACCTGGCAGAATAACAGTAATAATGTAGTAAAGCATGTTTTTGTTGGGTTATAACTTCACAAAGCTTTGGATTGTTGGCATTTAAGTATTTTAAGTTCTGTGAATTATTTATGATCTCATCTGCTGTTTACACAGGCCCTTTTTGTAGTGTTTTTATACATTTTGAATATAAACCTAGAGGTTTCTTCCTTTGGGCTATTTAATATATTTTAGAAATTCAAAGAATGAGTAAATAATACATTGACAGGCTAGGGGCAAAACAAACTCATGGAAATTATTTTCATTTCATGTATATTTCTGAGAGACAGATGAAGATGAAAGGGGGGTATGAATATAAACATATTTCAGGCACATATTCTAGGTAAGTTTTATCTCAGAATATAAGTTATCTATTATTATATGACTCTGCCTAGAATGAGTTTTTCTTTTGGTATCTCAAGTAGTAGGTATGTTGCTTAAAAGTTACTACAGTTTATGAAACCCAAGGGTCCAAAAAATGGCTATTCTTTGATTTTCTATAATTGATTTCAACTTAGTTCTTGAATGCTTTTGTATCATCAAATGAAAAATAATTCAATCTAGACACTTTAAGATGACTCAGTCACTTCTGACAAAGCATCTCTTTGAGGTAGAATTTCATTCAAATTTAAGAATCATTCTTCTCCTTGTGATAGCATCTATGTGCAGGGGAAAGTCTGTGTAGGGTGAGGGCAGTGGTGTGTGATGAAGTGCATTTGGTGTGCTTGCCAAATATGGTCCACATCAGGAGAGTCAGTGCCCTAAGCTCTGTTTCTGGACACTTGCAAAGCTGGTGAGTGGACACTTGGACTCCTGCTAACTCTGCAACCGAAAAACCAAAGACGTTCATAAGTAAGCTTTTCAGCAGAAACTGTGGAAGTGTGGCTCTACCTCATTTCTTCCTTCCAAGTATTGTGTGGGTGCCTCTGCTCGGTTGATCCTAAATCACATCCTGAACCCTACCTGTGAAGGAGAAAATGTCCATTCTAGATTTCCAGGCTCTAGAAGAGCACTAAGAAGGAGGGTGCAATGGATGTTGAACATCAGTCCACTATGTCCATCACACAGTCATAGCTGGGGATTGGGGTCGGGGAGCATTCACTTCTTGACTTGGATTGGTCTGATGGTGGTAGTGTCTGCTCATATGGTATCTTGACAAAGATGCTGTTCAAGGTTTTCTCCTAGCTGCCTTGTACAGATGATCTTCAGAAGAGCAGCTGCATCCCCTCTTCAGTCTCTCCAGAGGTACCTGTCAAGTCCTGTTACAGGTTGAACTGTGTGCCCCCCCCCCAAAAAAATTGATATGTTGAATAGTACCTCAGGATGTGACCTTGTTTGAAGTAGGGCCATTGCAGATATAATTAAGATGAAGTCATACTGGAATAGGATGCACCCCCAAATCCAGTATGACTAGTGTTCTTATAAAAAGGGGAAATTTGGACACACACACATATGGCAGGATAATGCCATGTGAATATGAAGATGGTTATCTGCAAGTCAAGGAGAGAGGTCTGGAATAGATCCTTTCTTCATGGCCCCAACCCTGCCAGCACCTTAATTTCAGACTTCTAGCCTCCAGAACATTGAGAGAATACATTTCTGTTGTTTAAGTCACCCAGTTTCTGGTATTTTTTACAGCAGCCCTGTCAAGCTAAATCAACTCCTTCTTGATGCACACTTTTCCACTCAGGCTGGCAATCTCCAGGCGTTATCAGTCAGCTCTTATTCCTTAGTTAACTTCTGTATCCCTTCACTCAGGGTCAGGAAACCTGGCTCAGTCCTTGTTTTGCCCTCTGAAAATTATGGGGAATTAAGGAGGGGTGTCTTCTTGCCCTGCTGACACGGGTGAGCCTCCAACTTTAGAAGCCTACAGACAAGAAGTGAGCTCTATTTTCAGTATCACCCCAAACCTCACCCAAGATTTTCATGGGGTCTTCCGCCTTCTCCCAAGAATAGTCAAGGTGGGGGAATTCTTGTACTCTATGATAACTTTGTATTATGACAGCTTCAGAACACTGGGAGTCTGTTTCCCTAAATTCCTTTTTCTACATAGTTCTGGCTTAGGGTTGCATGCGATTAGGAAGGTGGAGGTGATCCAAAGCCACGTGCACACTTAGAAGGTCTGTTCGAGGCCAGTATCGCAACTCAAGACTCACTGGGGATGCGCTATGGCCAGATAGTATTGTGATTCCACTTATATGAGGTACTAAGAATGGACAAATTCATAGGCACAGAAAGTAGAATGGTGGTTACCGGAGGCTGCAAGGAGAGGGAAATGGAGTTAACTGCTTAAAGACTACAAAGTTTCTGTTTGGGATGAAGAAAAATTTTTGGAAATACGTAGTGGTGATGGTTACACAACAGAAGAACAATGAGGAATGTACTTAATGTCACTGAATTATATACTTAAAAATTTCTAAAATGGTAAATTTTATGTTCTATATGTGTATGTTACCACAACTTTTTAAAAAAGACTATATACACTTGTTTCTCTGATGCACCTAACAAGTCAGTTTAACAAATACTTGCTGCATTGCTAGCAGGTACCAGGCACTCTGGTAGGAAATGAGAGTACAAAATTATTTACACAGTCGCTGCCCAGTAGTCAAGATCCTGCTTATTATTCTTAAAGGCCTAGTGTAGATGCAACCACCTCCTCCATTAATTTAATTTCTTTGAACAAGTATTTTGTAGTAACTGTGAGAAAGATTTAAGAATGTGGAGGATATGAAAATAAATGTCTTGGTTCCTACCCTTGAAGAGTCTGGTATCTACTTGGGGAGATGGAACATGCACACTGAAAGTAAGGGCACTACCTTGTACTATTTTGGGCTGACAAATAAATACTGATAGCAGATCCTTGGGGAGATAAGGGGGCAAGAAAAGGAGAGAAAAGGGAAAGACATTCTGAACGAGTCAGCAGCAAGAGCACGTTTGAAGGACAATGGGTAGCTCAGTGTATAGTTTTCATAGTGGATTTATATAGAATTTAGAACATATCTTCATCTTGAAAAGGTGGTATCTAAAGAAGGTTACATACCATAAGAGATGTACACATTTCCTCACGAAGACTCATTTGTTTTTCTTTATATGTTCTATATATTGTAGTGTTACTTTATATTCTTATTTTGATGATATTTTGTATCATTTCTTTTCCATTAAGGATATTACTACATTTTAAAAATTTCCTAATCTCTACCTTTTCAGGAAAATAAAGTCAAGCCACCCAATCTGACCACTAAGCAAATGTTCAGGTCCTCTCTGACTCAGGCCCCTTCCACAAGACCCGCCCTGGCTCAGAGTCTTCTACCATGTTCAGTAGCCACGGACCACAAGGTGGAGCTTTCGGTCAGCCAGCCAAAGCCCTGCACATCCTCAACTCTGCACCTCCAGCCAGAATCTGTTCAGAGCAGAAAGAAAGCCCTGTCTTATAAGACACCACACGTACGTTTGGAAGTACCAAAGCCCAACAGAGGAAATACTCAAGCTCAAGACACAAATTTTAGCTCCCGCAGTAATAGCACCCCTAAATTCGTACCAGTTTTCAAAACTCAGTCGTTACAGATGAACAAAAATGTCTTAGAACCTGGCAGCCTGAAAAGAAAACAGCATGTTGTTACAGAATCTAAATTGTTTTCACTTAAAACTAGTGTGATCCAGGATGAAAAACTGATTTTAGATGCAACCAAAAAAAAGAGAACTAGTAGTAACATTCAGATGAATGCTAGAAATTTAAATCAGAAGACTTCTAGACCTCTGCAAGAAAAAAACACTGAGTCCTATGAAAACATGACAAAATATCCCCCTTCTGATGGAAAATGGACTGTGAGTTTAAATGTAGGTAAAAAACTATCTGATAGTTCAGTATTTCAGATGTTAAATAACAATTTAGGTGTAATAAAAAGTGCTGTTGACTTTCGAGTTAATGGAAAAGAAAATTTAACAAGCAAATATATAACACAAACTTTAGGGAAAGGCCACAAGTCACTGAAAGTGAAAAGACAACCACACATTTTTGAATCAGGCACAGAAATGGAAGATCCCCAACTACCACAGCGGCAATCAGGAAATCAAACTAAAGAAGTTGATGTAAGTGACCACCAACTGGTAGTGAGCAGAACAGTCCACAGGTCTAAAAGAAAGTTATGGCAGGAATCTTCAGAAACTTCAAAGAAGCCTCATTCCAATACTATCCATTGTAGGCAATCCAGTTCTTCTAGGAACCAGGTAAAAAACCAGTTTTAATCTGGGGATATTCATCATATGGTAGACCTTTAAAATCCCTAAACAAAGATTTACATGATTTTCCCAAGATCATCTAGAAACGTATTAAGAAACAGAATATCTACCCTAACACAATGGCAAGTATTTACAGCTAATTTATATCAAAGTGTGCTTCTTCAATCTGGTTACAGATACATAACTTGGACAAATCAAAACCAAAGAAATCTCGCATCATTCCTAAAGCTTATAACATGGATGTGAAAGAAGGAAATATTTACCAGGTAACTTAGGTGATATCTTTTTATTTATTTTTCATTACATTATCAGAATTGCAGTTGCTGATTTTAGGGATCCCCAGCCTCTTGGTGAGAAGGAGCTACTTTTAAATTCCTTGAAGCCTTAAAATCAGCAAGGAAAAAGGAAATGTTAGGAACAGAAAGCCATTGACCAAGGACTGTACGCGGCAACCGTTATGCATAGTAGAGGCCCCGAAGAGGGGTGAGGTGGAGAGAGGCCCCACCGCTGGCTCCTCCCACTCTGTTCTGGGGTCTTTGCAGACTAAGAAGAGGGTGCAGCAGCAGCAGACTGCCTAAAGACAGGTTTCCACAACCTCTAGAACACAGACCTCTTGGGACTGTTATCCAAGATAATTCAATGATGTTTCAAAGGTTAATCATTAAGTTAAAATTCACACCAAAAAATGTTGCAGTGCTGGCTAAAGTTAAAACTTGAGATTTAGCTGCTAATGCTGAGTCTGCAGCACTGAATTCACAAACCATGCATCTTGAAATTACATTTTATTCTGTTCTGCCATCTGTTTTAGTCTAAGAACAAGCTTACCAAAATATCCACAAATACTTTATGCATAGAACTATTGGAATAGTTTCAATTCAAGTTCTTTATGAACAACCCAGAAAACATTTTCTTCTCTTCCAAATGCTATTTCTTTCTATAATTAATAGAATTTCCAGCCTGATTTGAATTAACCAAAAGGTAGTTAACTGTATTCCCATATATTTTGTAATGTTGGTTTCATGTAGTTTCATATAGATGTCTTACTATATGCACTCAGTAGGTGGTCAAGGAAAAAAAAGTATGTGCTGCCTTAGAATTTTTTTCATTTTTAAAAATCAGTGAAATTTACTCAAGATTTCATATTGTTCTAGAAGTATAGCACTTTCCCATATTGAATTACTTAAGACCTAGCACAATTTTTATAGTTAAAAAATCATTTCCAGGGGCTGACGCCATGGTCGAGTGGTTAAGTTCGCGCACTCCGCTGCAGGCGGCCCAGTGTTTCGTTGGTTCGAATCCTGGGCGCGGACATGGCACTGCTCATCAAACCATGCTGAGGCAGCATCCCACATGCCACAACTAGAAGGACCCACAACAAAGAATATACAACTATGTACTGGGGGGCTTTGGGGACAAAAAGGGAAAAATAAAATCTTTAAAAAAAAATAATTTCCACAACTAGGAGGACCCACAAATAAAAATACACAACTATGTGCTGGGGGAATTTGGGGAGGAAAAAAAAGCAGAAAAAATAAAAATAAAAAATCATTTCATGAGCTACAAAGAATAACATAATGAGAAAAATTATAGATATCATTATAGAAAATAATTTCCTGCAAATATAATATTAATATATACTCCTATGAAAATTTAAGTAATACAAAACAGTTTCAAGAAAAAGTGAAAAAAAGACTGTAATTCCTCTTTGCAGGGATAACCACTTGGAACCGTAGATGGACACTCACACTCATGCCTGTGAACATGGAATGAGGCTCCATACGCTGCTCTGGAACCTCCTTTTTCACTCAACAGTTTCCTTGTTCATGGTTGCATAGAATTCCATTGCATGTTGGGTATACTGTATTTAACTGTCCCTACCGACTGACATTTAAGTTGTTCCCAACTTTTCACTATGATGACAATGTCATGTAAACAGTCTTATGTAGATCTTTGCAGAATATCTAATTATGTAGTAGTTTTATTTTGACCTTACTAGTTTTATTAAAGTTTATTTGAATTCATTATTTTTGTTATTGAAATTTTCAAACCACACAAAGTACAGATAATAGTATAAAGAACCTCTAAGTACTATCACCCTGCTTCAACAGTTATTAATATTTTTGCCACTCTGTTTCATCTGTTCTCACATATAGACTTTTTTACTGTTCTATTTTAAAGCAAATTCTATACATCATATAATTTTACCCATAAACACTTTAGTATATATCTCTAACAGATAAGCTACAGCATGTTTTTAAAGAAAAAAAAAAGTGTGTATTTACATTGCGTTTTTGGGGTCTCTATCTTTATAGACTCACTAAATTTCACTTTAGTTTAACATGCAAATTAGCAAGAAGCCCTCAATAAACATAAAAGCCTTTTTCACAGAAGAACTAGATAGAGCCTTCAGTCATATAACGAAAATGTTGGAGTGGAAACTTGTATGTTCAACCATATTCATTAAGCATATACCGCATGCCAGGCAGTGGGCTGAGCACTGGCTTACTGAAATGATGACTGCCACTGGCAGTGGAGTCTAATCCCTAGCAAACCCATTCTGGGTTCCTGGTGGAGACGTAGGAGTATATATGTATTGAAGCAGATGTCAACAATGACTTTTCGGTCCATATTGCAGATAGATTATCTAACATATGAAAAGAGAGAAATAGAAATAGAGCTTCTCACCTAAGTAGTAGTAGTCTGGCTTTCAAACATTTTAGATGTTTAATTTATAAAATATGATATAATTGTGATATTTAAAAGAAACCAAAAATCCTCATTAGTATTCCGCTGAAATAATCCTTCATTAAATAAAAAAGAACTAGCAGAGAGCCAAGTATAAGTTGAACTTTGATTTTTTAGTGTGATTTGCTGTTTTTGCCAGTTCACTATACTATTGTAATTAAAAGCAAAAATGAACTCAAACTCTACTTCAAAACTGTAAATATAATTCTTGCACTTGAAGTTGTGCCTGGTTGGTTAATTTACTGTTTACCTTTACTGCAAGCATTTCTGTTTTCCAGAATTATCTCTATTTATAATTATTTTACCATTTTCATAGGGAAATACATCTGGTTTAAAGCGCAATTTGAGTGTGCCTTTCTCATTCTAAAACTAGTGTGACAGATAATTAGTAGGCTCAGTAAAAAATGGTATATCATTTTGTTTGTGAGGCTGCAGTGAAAATGTTTGCTTATGAAAGTGCTGTTGAGAATGTCTATTTGGTCACTCAGTCGTCCACAGCATGGACTCATTCTTGAAACCAGTCTTCCTCCCGTTTCGTGTATTCCCAGGCTGCCTTCCTGCCACTGCTCAGTCATCATGCCTTAAGTAATGAAGACTTATTATTCAACTAAGCGAAACAGTTAAGTAGTGTGTGATATCTTCCAGTTCTTTGTATAAATAATATTGATAGCCCCTCCTCCTCTCCATTAGTGTCTAAAACTTAGAATTTATAATATAGTATTTCATTTACATAAATGATAATCTACATGGCAAAGCCTGCTTATGTTAGGATCAGTCTATTTTCTGATGTAAAGTAGGTTTATTTTTCATCTTACAATATTTATCCTAGTGGAACTTTACAAAAAATATATATATGATTTACTATAGAGACACATGGGCAGATTGATTTTTTATTTACTACTCCATGTTTAGAGAGGAGGTTCCACACCAAATTGCAGTGTTCAGATTCACTGGAGAAATCAATGAAGATTTTGGTTCATTTTTAAAGAGTACAATTTTGAAAGCCAGTATAATTTCAAATTTAATTAAGAATACTAAATTGTCGTTCCTTGTTTAAATTTTTGGTGGTTTATATGCATTGTGGATCCCCACCCCCACCCCTGTTCTTCACATTCCAATTGTATTTTAGTTTTAGAACCATTACAATTTTAAAACTATAAATAGATGATTTTATGTTCACCTGTATCCAGAATCTCAAAAGATCAGCTATTGCATTTAAAAACCTATAGCAAATGCCAAAATTAATGCTAAGAATCATCTTTATAGCAATGTAAAAACACTTTCTGTGTACTATTCATATTCTAAATTCCACAATATTTGTTGCTTATATGTTTTTATTTATATTCTTTATGTATTACTATGATTATTATACATTATTATATATTATTTGTATTTGTGGCTTACTGTAGCAAATAGGTAAAAAATATAGGTTTGTCACTGATTAGCTTTTATTTGAGTAACCAGTTCACTAGCCAGTTTTTGCTCTCTTTCTCAAATTGCACATCATCTGGTGTTATGCTAGAACTCACAATATATTGGTTATTTATTGATACTTAAGAATGGTCAGTATTTATAAATGTTTAAAGATGTCATGGTCATTATTTGTTGATGCCTAAAATGTCCATGTTGTTGTATCCTACATAGTGTCTTATTTTGAATTAAAAAATGTATTTCAAATAGACATATTTTTCATATGTCAGAGTGGCTGAATGAAAAGGCTTAGATGAATTACAAATTCTTTTGCCTTTGTGATTCCATTTCTTCACAGACATTTGCTGCTGGACCCGTGTAAACTAATTTAGGTCCTCACCATGTCATAGAACTTCTGTTCGCAACAGTCCTTCATTCTTTCATTCAGCAGATACTTACTTAGTATCTGCTATGTGCCAAGGACTATTATAGATGCTTGGGACATACCAGTTAACACTAACCTTACATTCTTGCAGAGAGAGACAGAAAATAAACATAACAAAAAGTTATGTAATGTATTAGAACAGGACAAGTATAGGGAAAAAAATACAGCAAGGTAAAGGAGATGGTTAAGGTACGCTTCCTGGAACAAAGACATAAAGGAAGTGAAGAAGTTAGCCACGTGGATATCTGAAGGATGAGCTCTCTAGGCATAAGGAATGACCTGTGTGTTCAAGAGGCATCAGGGAGCCCAGAGTGTAAAATGATCCAAAGAGGACAGACTAGAACATAAGATCTGATCATATTGGGCCTGTTGGCCATGGCAAGGACATTTACACTGAGTGAGATGGTGTGGGGACCAGAGAGGTGATGTGATCTGACTTAGGCTTCAAGAGGATCATTCTGACTGCCATGTTGAGAATAGACCGGGGGTAGAGGAGAGTGGGAGAAAGAAAGAAGACCGTCTAAGAGGCCATTGCAGCAGTCCAGGCAAAGATGAAAGTGGCTGGTGTCACTGTGGTGGTAGACGAGATGAGGAGGAGGAGATGAGAAGTGGAGGAGATGTGAAGGGGCTGATTCTGGATATATTGTGAAGGGTAGAGTCCCCTGGATTAGGGATCTGAGAGAAAGGTGTTGAGGATGACTCCAAGGTTTTCAGCTTGATCACTTGGGAGGATGGAGTTATCAACTGAGATGAAAAGGAGCAGGCTTTGGAGTAAGAGGAGGACTGGGGATTGGCCACTGGATTTCACAATGTGGAGGTCATTGATGACCCTGATGAGCAGTTTCCATGGAGTGGTATAGGCAAAGCCCAACAGCGTGGGTTTAAGAGAGAAAGGAGGGGGAGGATTTGGAAATCACAGGTGTAGACAGCTCTTTGAAGAAGAGTCATTAGTGAACTTTTCTAAACCTTACTTTCATTTACCCCTTAATCTTTTCCTTTGATTATCTCCTTCTTGAAACACTATTCTCCCACGACCTCTATAATCTTACATCTCTGGACACAATTTTGCTGTCTCCCTTACTGACTGGCATTGAGTACCTCCAAGGACCTTGAAGGATGAACAGTTGTTATGCCAGACACATTTGGGACACAAGAGGAACAGGAAGAAAGGCATTCGAAAGAGAAGAAATAAAATGAGCAGAGGCATGAAGTGGTACATTGTTTAGGGAACAGTGAACAGTGATTCTGATGTGGTTAGCATGTGCTTCATACGGGCACCAGAATGACCGCAGACAAGGCCTCAGTGGTAAAGGAGAGTTATAGGCAGGGTAGAAATCACCTGGAGACTGTTCCAAAAACCCAATCCAGGGAGCAGAGAATGGAAAATAAGACAGTACTGACAGACAAAGAATGGCTGGTCAGGGGAGTTGGCTGTAGATGGTGCGTGCTGGAGAGCTCAGAGATGAAGCTGGGTTTTTAATCTTGAACCACTGTAAGAAAAGTGTTCCCTCTTAAAAATACAGCAATGGAGGAGCGGTAGGGAAAATGTGACAGGAAGATGCCTGATTCAGTCCATCATAACCCAGGTTGGTGGTGGTAGCAGATCCAGGTAAAGATGGCCAACAGACAACTAGATTAAGACTTAGGGCATGGGATAGTGTGGGGAGTCGTCCACGTAGAAGTGTCGTTGAAGGTGTGCATGAGAGTGTGGGAGCAAAGAGGAGAACACAAATGACAATTGTGAGTACATGATATGGATGCTTAAGGAATAGGGGCAAGGGAGAGCAGTCAGGACATGGTCAGAAAACAGAGCTTGCAGAGTCCCAGAGCCAAGGAAAAGGAGATTGTAGGGGCAGCGACGCTAGTGAGGGCCCAGGAGAAGGAGGCCTGAGAGACCGCGGGCTGGGGTCGCAGATCCCTGTGGCTGCTACAGCTCAAAGGTGAAACAGAGGATGGCCAGGTGTGCAGGAGGAAAGTGCTGGAGTCCTCCACGAGAAGTATGGCTGTGAAGGGAGGACAGAGACCACACTCTGAAGGGACAACAAGATCAAAGGAACATTTGCGATCTGAAACAAAAGGATAAAACACATCAATATAACCAGGAAAAAAATACCTGGTGAGAATATAGCAGATGGATAGGGCTTTTGAATTTTAAGCTTTAAATTTCTGGAAACTGCTACCACTAAATATTGGCAGAAAAACTCAAACGGTAATCATCTTAGTTTATCAGCTTTTGTTTTTGAAATGAATGCTCGTGATAGATTTTTTTTTTTTGTAAGGAAGATTGGCCCCAAGCTAACATCTGTTGCCAGTCTTCCTTTTTTTGCTTGAGGAAGATTGTCACTGAGCTAACATTTGTGCCAATCTTTATTTTGTATGTGGGATGCCACCTCGGCATGGCTTGATGAGTGGTGTGTAGGTTTGCACCCAGGATCCGAACCCACAAACCCCAGGCTGCCAAAGTGGAGTACATGAACTTAACCACTACAACACCGGGCTGGCCTCTGATTTTATTACATATATCTTTCACTCGGTTTTTTGCCAGTGAAAATTTTCCTAGTTTTCACACAAAATAAAATGCATTGATGTTTTATCGTATTGCACAAAGATCATCCTGGCTACTACTATATATTTATTATATTATTAAATTCCTGAATTTAAATATTCAAAGACTGTTTTGCCATTGACATTCAATGTACTTCAGACATGAAAGAAATTACATATAGTATGTGCATAATATATTTTTTATTTTGTTCCACTAGCTTTTTTTCCAGAGCATCAATAGGAATTGTTTCTAGTTGGTATCCTGTATTCCTAAATAAAAGGTAGAAGTCTGCAATCATATTCAAGGAGATATCTGGCAAAACATAAATGCTTCTGTGGTTTATTATATATCTACTTATCTCACCACTAAAATGATTTCTGAATAAAATCTTTAAGTCTCTGAAGAACATGAATTAACCTGCCTTAAAATAAAATCCTGGGTCTGCACTTGGAACGTACATCAATATGATCATTTAGCTAAAATGAATAATATAATGGAATTTTACACAATACTGTTTAAACCATTAAAACTTTTATTCCTGAGAATAAGGATTTTATTTAAATTGTTTTTCTCAAATCCATTCCCAGCTCTGCTCGTAACCGATATTGCCATACTGAAATAAATAAATAAATATGGGACTTTTATGAAGCGAAGACAGCCTCACTACCCTCTTTTCTTCTTCAGGACTGAATTTGGTAAACACTTGTTTTGGCCTGAACCAGAATTTGAAAACTACCTTGTAGGAGTTCTTGTTTGTATAATGGCAGGCTAGGTCATTCAAACAAACCTTCTCATGGAAAACAACTAATAATGCTGGATAAATTTTTTTAAGTTCATAGAAACATCCAAGAACCAAACTGATGTAAGGAATTACCAGTATAAACCCTAAGAGAAAACCAGAAAGGTAAACGGAGAATTCAAAATCACTTTTGCTCTTAAGATATGTGGTAACCCAGACTTGAAAGGGAGCTGTGTTATGATGACAGCGAGGAGTGAGGGGGACAGAAATAAGATGCCCGGGGCCGCCCCTGAGGAGATGCCCGTGCCCCCTGCAGCGCACCGCTGTGCTGAGACCCTGAAGGCCGAGCCCCAAGATGAAGGTGAGCCATCAGTAATGCTCCATCCTCCACGCCAGGGGCCGTGGGGGACACTGCCTTAGCGTGAGAAGAGTAAGGAACAACATCCCTGAAAGGGCCCCCTGCGCATTTCTGCCCAGAGTCCTATCAGCACGGTGACCCAAGAAACCTCAACCGAGAATTCAGTGTAAAAGAATACCGGAACTATAAAAGTAAAAGATATCAAAAACTTTAGGGACAAAACTAAGCTTTATTGAATGGTATTAAACACTATCAAAGTAAATATCGCTATGCTGTGTTCATAGAGTGGAAACTCAATAACAGAAAGAATGAATGCGATTTTGATCCAGATTTCAACGTTTGTTTTTAGAATTTGGTAAACTTAGTCTAAATTGATATGCGAACGCAGAAGTCAAGACTAAACAAAGACTCTTAAAGAAAAACAAGAAGGAGAACTTGCTCTCCAGATATCAGATTTATACAAAGCTATAATAATTAAAACAATATGGTGTCGGTATTCAGATTGAAAAACCACTGGAACAGGATAGAGTCCAGAAACAGACCCATACATAATAAATTTCATACTATTTTTGTTCATATTGGCTCAAATGCAATCTAAATGGCCATATAAATCTTACAGTCACAATGATAAGCAGCAAGACATGAGTGAGCTTCCATTCATGTGAAGTTCAAGAACAGGAAAAATTCAACCATATTGTTTAGGGACTTTTTTCTTTGCTCTAATTAATATTTAATTCTTCCTTTCAACATTGTTTAAAGTCTCCAACATATTAGACAAAGAAATTTTGATAACATAGTTAATTCCCTGGAGACAACCATATAATCCTTTAAAATTACATAAATGTGTATATAGATGATTGAGGTTTCTGCAGCCTACATATGCCTCTTTTTGGGGGAGAAAAAGCAATATTTGACAATAATTCAATTGTAGCTTTAAAAAAATAGTTTTCTTATGAAACTTTAATGTGCTGTAAATAAACGTATCATCTGTTCAAGCAATGAACTCGTCAGGTCAGGCACAAGAACAGTGTAAAACTACAAAGAAAAGCAAGGAAATTATTACTAAAAATTCAGTGGCGTGGTGCCTGGTGAGAAGGGGAAGGGGTTAGGATGGGGCGGTAGATGGGAGGGAGGCCCTTCTAGAACAGTGCTAATATCTGTTCTATTTCTTGTCCTGGGTGGTA